AGGGAGTATTTTGAGACAGATTAATGGCAATGTGTCTTTTATTGTATTTTTTTAATTTAAACATTTGCTGTATTTTTTGATCACACCTTGTATATAACCGCAAACTTAATTCATTTCAAGAGGCCATTTTTGCTGTTTAAATTTATCAAAATAGGTATTGTTTAGGGTCTGGGAATGGATTAATTCACCTTTCATTATTCTAATGGAGAAAATTGATTCGGGCTTTGAACTATTCAAACAGCCTCCCAAAATGAATTCAGTTTGAAGTATGAGGCACCACTGTAATGTGCTTGAATCAACCTGAAACCATCCCCCAGTCCATAGAAAAATTATCTTTCATGAAACCAGTCCCTGGTGCCAAAAAGCTTGGGGACCACTGCTCTAGGACAATGGATCACAGCATTGATCGGCTGTCAAATTTTGGCATTGCTGCTGAATTTTAGCAGCAAATCACTGCTTTTTCTCACTGTCCTAGCAAACACTAATTGCATTGCACAAGTATTGGTTTAGGCTAGCAGCATGTCATTAGCACTAACATCAGGGCACAGTTGGATACAATCCTATGGTTTTCTCTTGCTTCCTCTTCAAGATTCAAACATCTCTGCTGCAAATCCTTGAAATTAATTGGGAGAAAGGAAACAGCATCCTCAGATTGGAAGTAACAGGATTTTGTACAAACTTCTGAACAAATTCTGTTGTTGCAAGATATCCCTCCAGTATTGATTTTCTAAATTAAGTTAGATGTGGCTGCCTAGCTGTAAGGCATCAAGGATGAAGTAAGTCCTGCTGTAATAAAAACCATCCATAACAAAAATATGTGCTTACCAACTAACATACAGATGAACAGTAACAAAAGTTATTGCTAGAATGTTTAGTTATGGTTTAAAGGACCCTTGCCATGTAAGATATCCAAAAGCCAGAAAAGGCTTAACAGATGAGACTTAATAGAAGGAAAACAGACAAAAGAGGGTATCATTTAGGCAATATAAGTCTTCTTATTTTTAGATTAAGAATGATGTGATACCTCCGACTTTGGCACAAATTCAGGAAGGCAAAAGCCAAAACAAAACACAATGCCAGTCAAGTTTAGTCAAAGTGACTGCATGATATATCTTAGGCTAAGGCTTAAGTCAGATCCATCATTCAGCAGTGAATTTCCTGTCCCCTACGAGAATTAAGGCCAAAGCTACACATGGAAATACATGGATTTGTTTAGTTATTGTATTCGTATCCCAGCTTATTTCCTGCAATGAACCCAAGGTGGCTTGCATAATCCTCCTCACTATTTTATCCTTGCGACCCTGTGAGGTGGGGTTAAACTGAGAGCCTAACCTTAACCCTATTCCCAATGTTGGGGCTCAAAAGATCCATGGAATGTCCCATGTCGGTTGCCTCAAAGAAGGAGGGCTTTCAGACTGGTGAATAGCCGTTTCCAGGAAACCAGTTCTTTGGCATTACCTCATGCACGGTCTGTCACATGTGTTCCACATGTTAACTCAACACATTCAGCTTAGATTTAAATGTGTCTAACTTTCTGTGCAATTCAGTACATGGCTAACCATGCCTAGACCCACTACATTCAAATGGGAGTTGAATCTACTCATCTAGGGCCTGCAATATATACTTCATGGCAGGAGCTCTGGAGTCCTTCTGTTCTTATTACAAGAAAGATACTGGCAGAGGCACAGCATGTTTGGAATTATTTATAGCGGGGATTTTAGGCTGCTCTTGCCAAAACTAGAATTAACAATACTTGAAACCAAAAACAATTTAAAGCACGATTATTCCGTGGTATTGCATAAATGATTTAATGGAGGGTGCTGTTTGGCAGCTAATATATTTCTTAGACAAAAGATAGGTGTTATATGTTTGTTGGCATTTTTCTCCAATTTTTAATATGTATGTTTGCAATAGCTTTACTCACATCACATTACAAGGTGAAAGCAAGGTGAAAGGCATACTCGCTCTGTCCTTCTGTGGCATTAGCACATGTGTTCTAGCTGCCTTCCTCCTGTTTTGAAGGTGAAGTTTTCCAGCAGGTGCCTTCTTTACTTGTGGTGGCTTACAATGTGATTTCATGCCTTGCTTTTTCAGGGTTCTGAACTTCATGGAAATCCTCCATGAATAGAGAACTCTCTCTGATGGAAGGGCTCACCTTCCCAAGACTTGGAAGGTGACCAGGCAGGTGATGGAGACACAATAGAGGTTTGGGGACACACAGGCTTTTTCCTGGTCAGCTTTTATTTATTTATTTTACATAGAAGGGGCTGGTGTCTTCAGGAATGTACTGGTGCCCACAGGTATCATCTTGCCTGTCTATGGGCTGTATTTATAATATGTTCATCCTAGCATTGGTCTGCTTTGTATATTTGAAATATGAATAAATTATTTTAGAAACCACAAAAAAGTGAGAATACATTTCTCATCAGAGGAGTAGAGAAGCCAACCAAAGCAAGGTATCATCCAATGATACATCAATGCCTTTCGCTGAATGGCATGACAGTTTTAGTGAAGCATAGATGCTTGGTGCTGCCAGCTGGACTCATTTCTGCAAGTGAGGCATCCCAACAAAAAATGCAATATTGTCTGTTCAGTTAATCTGAGCCATACAGTTCTAGAACAGTTTAATCCACTTTGCAAATAAGTTGTTTTGCACTTACGTTTGGACAATTTGTGCTTTACGCTGTACTGCCTGAATGCAAGCGATAGCAGCTGGCAGCACTTTTAACATGAACCAGCTGAAAGAAGACTGTTAAGTGCTTGTCGAACATTATTACAGAATTGTTGAAGCTTAACAAATCCACTTTGGGTTTATAAATTTTAGTTGGCACATCTCCTTTTACCCTTAATATACAAACAACTGAATAGACCTGAGGTCATTTCTCAATACGTCAAGGCTTCACAGGACACAAAAACAGAAATAAATTTAGTGGAAGT